GACTAGTATTCAGTAGATTTCTATAAGGAAGTTATGCTCTGGGCGAACATTAATACGATATTCTGAATCAGCATTCAAAACTGAGTGGGTGTACCTGTATTTCAAATAGTTTGCAAATCTTTTTTCCTATCGAAAAGTCAGCCTTGGTTCCCGTCAGGATTGGGTGAAAAAAATAAATTTCGTCAAAAAAGTTGTTTTTACAGTGACTATCAAGTTATGATGTTATAAAATGATATTCGAACTCCAAATAGCAGATGCCTACATGGTAAAAGCAGAGTTTTGATGGAATTCATTGTTTGGCCTAAGCCTGTCGCACGTCAGGAGTGAATTCGATTAAAAGAAAGTTTAGCCAAATATTTGAAATACAAGCACACCCACTCATTTGTGAATGCTGATTCAGAATATTGTATTAATTTTCGCTCAAATCATAACATTTCTATCGAAATCTGCTAAATACTAGTAAAAAATATCACAAAATTATAAGGCACAAGCCGTCTTGATAGTTTTCTTTTGACTGATCAGTGTATTTTCAGGGTGTTTTTTTACGCTGTTCTGTAGTGCTTCGAAAATACTCTCGAACAATATGAAAACAAACCCTAGTAACACATGTCATGAGCCGAAACAAAGAGGGCGTAGGTAAAAATAAAATAAAAGAAACATCCATACACCCTACAATAATAAACCCTTTTTGCTGTATATCAAAAATTTTAGAAACCCTTTAGAGTTTTATCAGAGCGTCATACATCTTTGAAGGGTTGACGAAAATTCTCAAATATGGTAAAAAGGGTTTCTTATACGTTGCACATTCATAAACCCGTAAGGCTTTATTATTCTACTCTTATTTTTTTTTACAGTGTATACCAATATAAAAATGAAAATAATTAATATTTTTTTTCTGATAATTTTAGCTGACAAAGAATTAGCTATAATAGTAAAGAAAATAGAAAGACAAATATATAGAAACAAGAATAGTATAGATATGCAGTTGAGTGAACTAACTATATTTTTCAGAAAGTTCAAGTTCTTTTTTTTGTGTAGTTGGACTCGACATTTTTTGGGAAATTTCACTATTGAGTTGAGCTAAGTTGACTTTTTAGTCCATAGAGTTCACATTTAATATAAAAAACATGGCTTTTTCATCGCCACTAAATACTTCAGCTGATGTGTACATTACTGCTTAGATTTCTTGATGCTTTTTATTGACCACAAGTATGACGAACTTCTTTCAATGACCAATATCGTCTTAAGGTTTATTCATCTAAAGAGAAATATTCAACTAAACAGTACAATATTGGATGTACTTTCGAATCCAATGTTTAAGAAAATCCTGTAATCACTACAATTGTTTCGTAATAGATGGCAAAATCAATCAGGAAATACAACATTTTTTCTTTTGTTGATATCTCAAAACCTAAACTTCTTATGACTTTACTCGCTAGAATTTTGTATTCCTATACGTACCAGAAATGCATATCAAAGCATGGCAGAAATGATAAGAAGATACTAGTTAAAACGTGGACATATCGACAATAGAAAAATAGTTATTGTACTTCTTGTTGGTTTTGCTATCCATTAAAAAAATAATTTTACTGATATCAAGATCTTTTTCAGAATTTGGTTAGAAAATGCATCCAATATGGAACTGTTTTGCTGGACATTCCTCTTCAAACAAACAAAATTTAGGAAAGTAACGATCATTGAAGAAAGTTCATACTTGCGGTCAATCGCAAGCTATGAAACAATCTGAGCAGTAACGTGTACGTCAGCTTAAGTATTTAACTTGTTGTCATTCGTTATTTCACAAATTATCTCTTGAAGAGTCGTTAAAAATTTAACAATTTAATGAAAAAGGCTATTACTCTTTTGATACTGAAAACGTGATAAATAGTCTTCTTCAACGCAGAAAGACGACTTGAACGATCTTCTTGTAACGAACAGAAATATGTCAATAACGCGTTTCTAAGGTCAAGCAGACAACATTGGTTTTTGTGAACTCATTAAATTTTTTAACGACTTTTCATGTCAAAAAGCTTCGTTAAATTGGAAAAAAATTACATCGAACAAAGATAATTCCAATGGTTAGAAGTTTAGCAAGTGTTGAAGCGAGAAAGACAACCGCAGTAAAATCTCTGTATAGGAAACACTGTTCACATTTGTGAGGTGTTCAATGAGGAAGGCTTTCCTGTAATATAAGTCAGTTATGTGCGTCGAAAGTGGGATTATAAAAATGGATGCTCTTCCTTATAACGTTTCGTAGAAGAATTTCGATGTAAAAGTGCAGACTTTAAGCGATCATCAATTATGACTATTCCACACAAAGTCTTCTATTATAGCACAGAACGTCGAAAGACCTCTTCTTCGATGAGTAAAGCAAGCGAGTCTAATGAGGAATGTGACACAAGCATTAAGAAGTATGCAAGACTCCCTTCAATTAAATTCTGCGACCAAGAGCTGCTGGATGACGATATGGAAACTATTGGACACGAATTGTCCATCAACAACGTGTGCACGGAACTTGTTCTCAGAAATAATAAGATTACATCCAACGGAGTTAAGCCTTTGAGTGAAGCGCTTACACGCAACTCGACTTTGAAGGTACTCAATCTCTCTGGAAACCCGCTCAAAGTCAAAGGTGCTGCCTTTCTCGGCAGGGAGCTGTGCCGCAACTTCACGCTAGTAGATCTTCGTTTGGGTTCGACGGGTATGGGCGATGAAGGAGCAAAGAAAATAGCTGATATGCTCCGTGCCAATCACACAGTCACCTATGTCGGGCTGAATAACAATCGAATCACAAGTGTTGGTATCGGCTTTTTGTCGATGGCACTTGAAATCAATGAGACTTTACAATCGATTAATATTAACGAAAACGAAGCGGGTAATAATGGGGCGAAGGCACTCGGCAAAATGTTGCTTCACAACAAGAGTCTCTGCAAACTATACGTAGATGCCAATGAAATTGACGATGTCGGATTCATATCAATATTGGATGGTTTAAAAAGAAATGCAACTCTATTCAAATTATCAATCGCCAACAACGGCATCACCGATCGAACTCTAGATACGATCACCAAATTGCTGACAGTCAGTGGAACCTTGACAACAATTGATTTAAGAAGGAATAAACTTTCAAAACTCGCTCAAGATAGAATTGAACAGACAGTCGGCCTAACCAAGACATGCAGTGTGCTGTTTCACACAACGTGATATGAATTCTACTTCTTCATTCAATCTTCACAGCGAACACTGATATGATAATTATCGCAAAACACTATATCAGCGAATACAAATACATGCGATAGATTATTTTTTCTTACAGATAGACGACGATTTTATTTACAAAATAAACTCTAAGGAACGGTGTTCTAACATTATCGGAAATTAAGTAAATAGCGTTTTCTCTCCATCTATTGATACAGTTTCGCGATTTAAAAGCGTCCTAAAACGCATTAAGGGATAAGGTGGGGGTGTGGGTGTGGGTGGGCGCGGGTGTGGATATGGGCGTGTCTTATGGGGTATGGGTGGGAGTCGATGGGATATAGGTGTGGGGGTGGGCGCGGGTGTGGATATGGGCGTGTCTTATGGGGTATGGGTGGGAGTCGATGGGATGTAGGTGTGGGGGTGTGCGCGTGTGGTATTGACATCTCATCTACCCAAACCCAAACCCACACCCGCACCACGATTTCAAATTCGACCTTCGTATTGGCCAGAAAGCCGATCAATCAGAAATAAGTTTTTTTATTTTAGGCTTTTTCGGCCTTTTGTTGAACCTTTACTATAGGGTATCGAGGGGTAGAATTTCGAATCTGAGGTCGGATTTCACCTGAAACTTACAAGTGCCTACTGAGGTGACCAAGTAGATACGAGCTGTTGCACTTTAAGGTCTTTGGCTCGTTGGATGGGGTAATTCCTTCGAGTGAAGGGAAGATCATATGAAATAAAGCTGTTAGAGCAATCTCTGCCGAATTAAAATGTGAAATACGATGTAGTTGGCGCTGGTAATCGCCTAAAGACTGTTTCGTTAGATCTAATTAGCCATAGATTAGTTCACAACCCTTTGCTTACAAGAGAACATTCCCAGGTGCCGGAGTGCTTTTCAGTTGGGGTTTCGCACATCTTGTAGTCCATCGTGAGCTGTGTCTATGGTAAAAAAAAAAGTTCGGGTTTCTGGCTTGTTTCCGAGGAGATCGAACGTTTTTTGTGAATTTTCACTATAGGATATGACATTTGCAGCAAGAGCCGGTTGTCGAATTATGATTTGAAACTTTGGCCACATAAAGATGGCATCTAGACTAGTTTGCATTAAAAATTTTAGAACTTTTAGGCTATATCTCTCTGAGATATGGAGCCTTCAAGGTATAGGTCGTTTTCGATAGGTAATACATACAGCATGTCACTTTGAAGATTCCATATCTCAGAGAGATATAGCCCAAAAGTTCTAAAATTTTTAATGCAAACTAGTCTAGATGCCATCTTTATGTGGCCAAAGTTTCAGATCATAATTCGACAACCGGATCTTGCTGCAAATGGCATGACCTATAGTGAAAATTCACCAAAAACGTTCGATCTCCTCAGAAGCAAGCCAGAAACTCAAACTTTTTCTTTACCATAAATACAGCTCACGATGGACTACAAGATTGATAGTTTTCTATGTGAATTTTTATTGCTAACTATATTCTTGGGTAGGAGATGAGAGAGTTAGGTACGATCTTATATTACAGCCTGTCAGATGGCTTCGTAACCTGACCCAGGGGATTCCTTGTGACTGTTAAGACGAAAGCCGTACCATACCCGGGAAGATCGCTATGCTCGTAGGTCCCTGTTGTTGTTATTGTGCGTGATACTTACGTTCATTGCTCTATCAGTTCGGTGTGGTCCGCTTTGCGTGTACCCATTTTAGGCTTACATGAGGTCGCACGTGTGTACGCGATAATGAGCTAAGAAAAGCTGAAACGAGGAGTGAATGACAATGCGAGCCAATTTATTAAGCGCGCAAAAAAAAATTACAATTTCTTTCGAATTCTTTCAAATGTTTCTCTGTAATCCACAAGATAAGGATGATTTGAAGGAAATTTTTCTTCAGCAATTTCTACCGCTTGTTGAACATTTTTCATTGCCATATTATATTGTCTAGTAGCGAAATATAATTTTGCCAAATTATTATAAATTACAGCTAAATCAGGATGATTTTTTGGTAGTTTTCTTTCACGAATTTCTAATCCTTTTTGAAAATATGTCAATGCCATTGAAAAATCCTTCATTTCTCGATATGTTACACCTAAATTTATATATGTTGTTGCACATTCCAAAGGATTACATTGAACATTTTCTTGAATATTTAGTGCTTTTCGATGAAATGAAAGTGCAATTTCGTAATTATCCATTAATCGATGAACATCACCTATGTTACTATAAGTAATAGCCTGATATGGGTGTCCTTCCGGTAACGTTTGTTGAAATATTGTGAGGCACTTTTCAAAATAATATAGTGCCTTGGAGTAATCTTTCATACTGCGATAAACTCTTCCAAACCAGCTGTATGTAAAGGCAAACTGTAGATTACCTTCTTCAAATGTTGTTTGTTGAAACCGAAAAGCATTTTGAAGAGTCTTAAGAGCCGCTGTATACTCACCCAGGTCGTGATATACCGAACCGATATTGTTGTAGGAATTAGCCAAATCGGGATGATTCGGAGGGAGAGCTGTTGCCCTAATTTGATGTGATTTTTCATAAAATTGGAGTGCTTTCGAGTAGTCACCCATGTCGTTGTACACCGAACCGATGTTGTTGTAAGAAGTAGCCAAATCGGGATGATTCAGAGGCAGAGCTTTTTCGTAGATTTGATGTGCTCTTTCGTAAAATTCAAGTGCTTTGCAGTAGTCACCCATGTTGTTATACACTTGACCGATGTTGTTGTAGGAAGTAGCTAATGAGGGATGATTTGAAGACAGAGCTTTTTCGTAGATTTGATGTGCTTTTTCGTAAAATTCAAGTGCTTTGCAGTAGTCACCCATGTTGTTATACACTTGTCCGATATTGTTGTAGGAAGCAGCCAAATCGGGATGATTTGGAGGGAGAGCTTTTTCTTTGATTTGATGTGCTTTTTCGTAAAACTCGAGTGCTTTGGAGTAGTTGCCTATGTTGTTATACACTTGACCGATGTTGTTGTAGGAAGCAGCTAAATCGGGATGATTCGGAGGTAGAGCTTTTTCGTAGATTTTGTGCGATTTTTCATAAAGTTCAAGTGCTTTGGAGTAGTTGCCCATGCTGTTATACACTTGACCAATGTTGTTGTAGGAAGCAGCCAAATCAGGATGATTTGAAGGCAGAGCTTTTTCTCTTATTTTATGCGCTTTTTCGTAAAATTCAAGTGCTTTCGAGTATTCACCCATGTTGTTGTATACGAAGCCGATACAGACGTAGTAAGTAGCCAGTTCAGGATCATTCGGAGGAAGAGCCTTTTCTTTTATGGTAACTGCTTTTTCATAGAATTGAAGTGCTCTCGAGTAATCACCCATATAGTTATACGAGAGACCAACATTGCTGTAGGTAGGAGCCAATGTAGGATGATCTTCCGGAAGAGTTTTTCGGTAGGTTTTCAGTGCTTTCTCATAAAACGAAGCCGCTTCTGTGTACTGTCCTTGGTCGTTTTTCAACCATCCAAGCTGGTGATAGAGACACGCTGCATCACTGTCATTAGATGTTTGCTCGAGTAGTGCAGTATACAATTCTTCCGCCTTGTCGAATTGACCTATTTTGAGCAGCAGTTGACCCATTCGATACCATCCTGTGCCATCGACCTCTTCTCGTATAAAGTCGGTTAGTTGTCGGAGTTGTTGGTCATCATCTGACGTAAGTTTAAGATCCACTTCATAAAGTGGATTTTTCTTGTCCATTTTTCGCACTTCACCAATTTGAAAAACGACGTGCATTGAGAAGAGAATCTCCTGTTCTTGCGCGAACTCACTCACGTCTACGATGGTAGCAAACGGAGTTAATGAAACTGTAGGATCGATCATCATAATAAAAAGAACACCGACCAGATCGGTTGTTCCCAAGGCATCTTTGGCAAACTGGAGCGAAATATTTCGATCTTTACTGGTAGATAAAAAGTTATTAAAAGAAATAAGTCCATCCTTGCTTTTGATGAGTTTTGCCAAATCTGCTTTCGGTAGTCCTTGACCCCTAAAGACTGTAAAGGTCTTCCCGTGGTATTGACTGACCTGATTCTTGTACAATGTTTCGATTTGTCGATGTATGTCACACAGGAAGAAACCCATCCGAATGATAATGTCACCGTCGAGTATTCGTAATGCTCGATTGAGCATTTTGTATGCGAAACACTGCCTTGTGTACCACCAAATAGACGATATTGGATTATAAGTGCGTCCAAATTCTTGAATGAATTTGAGTTCTTCTTTGTTGCCTTGATATTGTTCTTGGCAAAAAGTGACCAAATCTTTGATAGCTTCTTGACCGTGTTCCATGTCAAGGAGTATTTCCTTGAATATTTGTGTATACATGAAGCTAGGTTCTAGCTGATTAAGATTTTCGCTAGTACTCGCTTCATTAACACCGATAATACTGACTAGTGTAGTATTTTGATTGCATTGCTTAGCAGCCACTTGCAATGCTTGGCATATCGACTTGATAGATTTGTGGACGCCTTTAATTTTTGTCCAATTTTTAGCCCATTCTTTATGAAGTTGTGTGTTGTGACAAAAGATATATATGGTGTCAAGCTTTGGCATTTCATGAATAGCTGGTACAAGATATTGCCCAAGTGCACCAGAGGATATAACGAATGACGTCTCTTCCTTATTTTCATTGAGGCATTCAATGCATTCTTTTGCCGTGGTGCATATTTTCACTTCATTGACAACACCACGCAATTGGGTTAGTGTATGTTGACAATCTTCATTTTCCTTGTTAATGTTTCCATCAACCCAGATGACTAAATAGTTTTCAGCCATGCGTCGTCTTCTTTGTCGATTCATTTTCGATGTAATGTTTGTTGTTCGATCGGTAATCGTATGTTGTCAATAATAAATTGCTGCTTGGACAGAGCTTACCTTTTGTGTTTATATATTCGATGCACGTTGTTTTTTTCCAAATTTTTCTACGACGTCAACTTTGAATGTTTTGTTTTTTTCATTGACACTGAATAACAAACTACGCCTAGTATCAATTGCAGATATGCTTGTCAAAAAGAAATTAAAGAGAAAAAAACGACAGCGTTATTTATTGTGTAATGATTTTTTCCCACGTTCATTTGCGTTTCATGTGAACCGTGACTTAAATTTCATTGCATTAGATACCTTTTCTCATACGTTATATATATTTTTTTTTATTCTTTCAAAATAATCTTTTTTTCTCTCTCTCTGACCAGAATGAAAAAGATACTAATCAAATCGTTAGTTTGATTTTTCTTCTCATTTTGGATATGATTGTCATGCTGATAGTGTGAACGAAACAAGAAAAAAAATCATAACTTCAATTTTAATTGAGGAAACAATCAAACAACGGTTTCTATTTGCCGAATATATTACTGATCATTAACTAGTGATTGAAGTAAAACATCCAAATTATATCTAGAAAACCACACAAGCTGTTACCGAATAGGTATGCAATAATTTAAGAGCTGCCTAATTGCAGTTATGGGCTTTAGTCGTACCATGTTCAGAATGTATATAATATCATTCACAACGTTTCTAAAATGATTTTTTTATTTTTACTTTATTTATTCGAAATACGTGTATGATTAAAAAATTTTTGTTTTCGTATTGTATTTTATCTGTTCTTGTTTCATTATTTTCTACGATTGGTAAAGAAACAATATTCAAATTATGTTTGTTCACATTTAAGATTCACACAGTTTTAACATGCGTCACAATGACAGCGAGAAAAATTCTGCCCTATACAAACATGTATCACTAGAATTATGTCTATTATAAACGTATACCAATGGAAAACACAGTACCAAACATCGTTTTATTTCTACTTTTATGCATCTTTTATTAATTCAAAAGTAACAAAAACAAAACACTATCAATACATTGCATGCTTGATGTCTTTGTTCAAACGTAGAACTGTGTTCCTCGAATAATAAACAGTGGCTGTAACGTTGATTGCATGATTCTTTTCAGATTCTTCTGAAAATACAACTATGGCGGACAAGATAGATCAACAAAAAGCTTCATTAACAACGATATGACGAAGGAGTCAACGAAACTAAAACAAACACGGAGTAGATTTTATCATTATTATCATCGATTTTTTTGTTTTTCGTTCTTATCTGCAAAGTGAGTGAAAATGTGACGATAAACTATGTAAACAAATGACTACTGAAGAAAAGAAACGTAATATCTCATTTTTCTTACTTTCTTTTTATGTGATTGCATCGTATGAAGAGATTTTTGTCAATGTTCATATGTTATTCTATCGTGCTGATAATTTTGAATCAATCAAAATATATTAAAAATTAATTCAGCACTGTTCATTACATTATATTCATTCAGTTTTTCTACATGTTTATTTGAGTCTCAAGTGTCTAATATCACGAAAATCTATAGAATTTGTATGATTAGCATCATATTGAACAGATCGTTAAAATCGAACGAATGTTCAAGAACCATTCCTCTAGCCCTTACATTTATTTTTTCGACCCAAGGCGTGAGTGTGCGACTCCTTTTTTCCACACTCACACCCACGCCCACCGTCGCGACTAGATTCATGATGTTAAAGTTGATAAACTTACATCTTCAAACGAACATGATCAACAGACTCTATATTTCAATCGATGTTAAAAAAAATTGATGAACGATGGAGTATTCATTTATCTTGATAAAAATTTAAAGATAACAAGATACCATCTTGGGATTTTACGACTAAAATTTTCATCACAATCGATAGTGGTTACAGATATAGAGCATCGATGTATGAAATATACTATTGTTTCTGAGCAAAATAATTCAAAATACTAGAACATGTTATGAATTAACCTTTAGATATCGGTGAAACGTGCTTGTCTCAAATATCTGATAGCGTCACAAGCTATTATTCTTGAATATGGAATGGTCGCTCTGCTACCTACAAGATCTTCATGTACTATAGAAGCTTTTAAAGCTCTGGAAATAAACTTAGACAAGAATGCTATTCACAAAGTTAGGTATACAACGATTTCAATGCACCAGACAGAATACTATTGAAATTTTTTACGAGTGATAGTTTTTCGACACTAGAACTTGTTGATACCATAACATCATGGACGAGAATACTCGGTAAGTGGCATATGAGACTCGATGTCTTCGGTCTTTTATAGATGAACGTCAAAAACTCATAATCAGTCTTTGCGTCTGCCCGATAGAAAAACAAATAAATAAATGAAATAATTTGGAATGATGATTTTATTTTGCTCGAGTTATTGATTAATAGATTGATGATAATTGGAACCAGTTTTTTAAAAAGTGAGCAAGACTCCTGAATTTCAAACAGTCTTTGAAATAAAACATTGCCAATATTAATATTCATGATAAAATTGTACTTACAATGAAGTGGAAATAAAATCTTAAAAACAGAGTCAAACACATGTCTAATTTTGTTTACTAATAAAGAATTGTTCCATTAGCTTGGATATTTCAGTATAAAAGAACAACAATTGATAGAAGAAGAACGGCAATGAGATTTGTAGTTAACATTCAATTTGTTCAAAGTCATATTTATATCGAAAAGTGCTTCAACTTAAGTTAGAGTGAGAGAAATATTGTTCAGTATATAATGATATGTGTTACATTTTTTTGTCTTCATCATTATGCTATCTATACGAAAATTTTGATTTTGCAGAGCATAGTTTCTGTCAGAAGTCAGATGTAAAAAAGATGAATAAAGAAAATAAAGAAATATTTTTCAATTGATAGAAACGACTATTATATGCCTAATAATACTTCTATTAGAACGATAAACTAGTATTATAAGAGAATGTCTTAATAGAATTCTTTCCATCAAGATTAATTGAAATTGTTTAGTTTCGATCTACAGCTTGTTTGTTTTAAACACAACCATATAAATTTTAGTGAAACTCTACATTGATCATAGAATCTTTTGGATTTCAAAGACCTAAAGAAGAATTTGTATTTATATTTTGTCAACCATTTTTATTTGGATACTATATAGATGTGAGTGTCTTTATCAAAAAATGTCTGAATGATACCTACAAATTATTAACTTTGGAAACGATTTCTCGAGACACAACACGTAATTCAAATATGTAAAGAGCAGTTGAAATATGTGTTTTATATATTGAAAATAACAAAAATTACCAATAGTGATTTTACTAAGAGGGTACGGATATGGGTGTCGTAGTGGATGTTCTCGAAATCCGCTCGTCTCGCCACCCTGGCCATCCACACCATTCATTACCTCTTAAACCTCCTACACCTCATCAAGAGAAAGTGGAAACAGCTTTCGAAAATTCAAATAAGGCATCTAATCAAAGAAGTTTTCTTTTTTTATGCAATGATAGAGAAAACGATGCTCTATTTTTCTATGCTATTTGATCAATCTTCAGCTAATATTATAATAATAAATTTTCGATAAGAACTGTTTTCTATAAAACTTGAGTCTGTTTAAAAAAATAATGCTCGTAGGCTTTTTTGCAATCACTCAAGAACGAATACAGCTAGAGAGTGGTAGTTTTCATCGTTCGAAAGAGGAAAGGAAGATGCATCGAATTGCATGCTGTGTCGATAGGACCACTCGCTTCTGCATGGTTAATCTGTGTATCATATCGTTTCTCTTTCCTGCTTACACCTATCTTACATTATCATGCAATGTAGATAATCTTGATGGTTATCTGTTATCCATTCAAACTCATTTGTCCACTTTAACACGCACGTTCCTTTCTCTCTCTCTCTCTCCTCTCTCTTTCTCTTCGGTTGATTAACTCGTTTTCTGCTGGCAGACGAGAACTATAAAAGGATGAAACAGATTGCAATAAAGACAATCGATAAGACAATATAACTTTGTCGTTATAACGACCAAATTACTCGGTCTCTTCCAGAAAAATCGATTTATTGATACAAAAACTAATAACAAGTTTAACTTTCAATACAGCATTAGAAAGAGTACTTTTTGTGCTATAAAAATCATTACTGAATGTGTTTTCTTCTTTCTCTTCTAATATTAAAAAACTAACAGAATATAGAAAATTACGTCGTGCGATGTGAAGTTACAAGAACATTTTTTTACAGATGTTTGGTTTTGAGCTTTTCCTTCTTCTCAGATTCGTTCTGGAAAAATATGTCTGCTACAAAATTTGCAGTTTAAACATTGCTGTTTCCAAGAAAAACAGGTTCGATTGGTTTAAAAATCGGCAATATCGTCCAACAGAGTTTGAAATTTGTGCAAAGACTTTTGCACCGCATATTATTCATGCTTTAAGAAAAAATTGATTTTTTTAACATAGAATAGCAGATCGTTGTAATTACGGGTGTATATTGAAAAGTTTTGTATCGCTAGTTGGAGAAGCAGAAATGAAAGTAATCAAACATAAGAGTGAATTTATTCTATTTCAAATTGATGGCATTAAAAGAACAGATCATTACATCACCTTTATGTAATTCTTTGATATTCCTATTTCTATATGAATATTTTCAATAAAGAAAAATTCTCTTCAGAAAGAAACAGAGTTTTACCGCTACATTATCCAGACGAATTGTGGCATTATCACGTTTAGTTTTTAATTCAAGTTCAATACTAAGTAACGTTATTTTAAATTTTAAAAGTTATTTAAATGTAACACGTGCAGCACCAAATCATGAATTCTAAATAATTAAAAGAATTCAACAGTATTTTTCATTATTCAATGAAATCTTCTATCTGAAGAAAACCAAGAACAATGAGATGAACAAATAAGAGAGATTAAATCGACAAATTCTATGCATCTAAAAGCTATCAACAAAGTAACACAAAGCATCAATTGGTAATATACTTAAATTATCATGTTACTCGCATGATAGACCTGTTGACCAATATTTAAAAAGTTTCGATGAGAAAAACTTGATTTGAAATTCTTGAAAATCGCACACAGATCAACTCAACTTTTTTCTTATCAAAATAACTATCAAATGAGCAATACGAGTAATTTGGTTTATACTTCAAGTGTTAGCTCTATGTATGGGGATGACACTATAGAGCTAAGCTATACTATATATATATATATTAGCATACATACATGAATGAATATGCAGCCGAATGGATGAATATATATGGGTATATAGTAAACACGTGTATTGTGATGCAAACAATAACAGTACAACTACACGCAACAAGAAGTACGACCAGAACGAATAATGAAAACAAAGGATGACCAGGATGATGAGAATAGAAAGAATAAGTGTGTGAGTGGAACAACATGTATATATAGTGTATACGGTACACACATCGATCACGCGCTGATCACACAAGTGGTCACTCAACAAATGACGTCATGTCATAATCATATACTAGCTTAACGTTAGTGTATATTCACTGACGCTAACAAAGTACAATACGTGTTCGTTCTAAATGCCTTTTATTTTTATAATAATAGAAAAGAAAAGAAGATGAGAAATAAGTAAAAACAAACCATAATTGTCTTGCACTTCTTTTTACATCTTTATATGTATCACCCATCATAGCAATGAGTAAATTTAATAAAAGAATAGTAATACTTACAACATACAATACAAATAATAAAGTACCGGCCCATAAATATTGTTCTTCAATGTAATATTCTAAATAAAACTCTCCTACTAAACCTAAAAAAACATTGTTTGATACTTGACAAATAACCTTGTAAATCTACAATCAATTTAAATGTAGATCATTTCTCTAGAATAGTATATCATTGAAAATTTACCATTTCTATTGAACAAAACAAAATATGATTGTGAAAAACCAGCAAGAAAAATGATATATATAATACAAAAACGAAGAACATCATTAAATAAAATTTTATAAATCATAATGACCAATGGTCCAGTAAATTGAAATGGCATTATGAAAAAAAAACATATAAAGCCATCCAAGAAAACAAGCAAAAGCATTAATAACAGTTTCATATTGTATTTTAAGTAGACGAAGAAATTGAACAATTAAAATACATAAACAAAATAAACATGATAAAAGATATTCAATAAAGACTGGTCCCTATTAATCAGAAATAATCTATTGAAATTTGAAGAATAAATCATTTACCGTACTATGCACATAGTTTTTCAAACCCAAAGTATATATTTCATTTATCTTACATGCAAGTTTGAATAGGACACCTGATATTACAATTATATACCCAATTATATAAGCTATTCGACAAGACATATTTGAATCTTTATTATCAGTTATTTTTATTTCATTATTTATATTTATCATCTAAAATAATCTTTCATAATTAAAATAAAAGATTTTGTTAAATTACTATTTCTGTTCGTGTTTGTTCTAATATTGTTGTAACAAGAAAAATGAGAAGATAAATAAATGTAAAGAAAAATCGTTGAATAAGTATTCGATAAGCAAAATATTCCCATTTTTTATCAATTAAAGATATAATAATTGGATTTATTAATTTTGAATCATTATTTCAAGTACACATAGAGGATGTGTTTTATTCTAAATAAAAGTAATATGGTTGAAACAATCAGTATAAATTGACTTACAATTACCTTTTCTTCAATACTAACATCAAGTTGATCGAGAGGATGTAATACACATGAAACACTACCAAAAGACCATTGTATTTTTTACGCTCATCAAGTAACCATAATAATGTGTCAGATCGATCTATATCAGCTGCTAGAGTTATGGGCATCAAATTATCTTTATTTAAACGATCCCATAAATTTACAGATTGTTTCACTAATGTTGAATTTCCAGCTATTCTATTCTTATTAATAATCTGCTGTTCAATCCAATATAATTTAAATTTGGTATAAATATCGCGTAAGTTACGAATAACAAGCATATGTAAAATGGTATTACCATTACTATCCGTCTATAGATATAAATAAGAATAAACTAGATCAGACTTTTTTTTCAAATGAATTTTGTCTTGAGAAACAAAAAACTTCATTTTTTTTTCTAGACCATATTCATATCAGCACCATGTTTAAGTAAAGTTGCAGCAATATCCTATTGATTAGTACAACATGCAAATGCTAATGGAGTTTCACCATAGTAAGTTGATTGACCTCTAAAAATCTATTGATATATTAAACGATAAAAGAAAAGTACATTACATTTTAAAGAAATCACCAGTTGTAGTAGCTGTTAATAATTGTTGTCGATTGGTTACGGAATAAATATCACTAAGTAACCATTTAACCATATCTAGATTACGTTTTACAATAGCAATATGAAGAATATTTTCACCATAATATTTCTAAATAATTTCTATGATTTTATCTAAGTAAAAATGAATATATTTCTCTATTTACTGGTTTATTATAAATTTGCGTCATGATCATTGGAAATCGTATAATAAGATTTCGAGCAATTTTCAAATGTTTATCTGTTCCATATAGAAATAACATATGAATGGGACAATCACCGAGAGCACCTCTTGACATAATAACATTTGGATTAGCATCAATCAAACGATTAATTGCATCCTCATCTGCAGTGAATACGGCAGTCCATATTGTATTATCTTTGTACATAAGTTCAGTTTGTTGTTCCACTTCTTCATTTTTCACACAGACATTGAAAATGATCACTGTAAAAACCATATTATCTTTTATTTTTCTTTCTGAAAAGAGCACTATATATATATATAAATTTACTAGAGTTTTTTTCTTAATTTCCTCTTATTCTATTTACTTTTCTAATCTACTCGACCTTGAAGCCCTTCAAGTAGTCGATGAATAATTTACACAAATGTAAAGTTCTTTTTTTGTTTTTATTCTATTTACTTTATTTTAGTTGTATTGTAGATTATTATTTTAAAGTAGCTATATATATGAAAATTAATTAAATTGTATTTGTGTGTTTAAGAAAAATTTAGAGTTGTGATAATTGCAGATAAATTCACTATTTCCTATCAAGATTGATGTGTTTTAAAATTTCAACGAATTATTTCCACAATACTTCACGCGCATTCTTCAAAGAACATGAAAAAAAATTGAGAAGGTCTTTTACACGAAGTTGCAAAGGACTTATGAACAAATTAATCTGGGAAATTAGAATTTGTAGGCTTAATTTTCTAGAAGATACATCAATCTTCATAGTTAACAATGTCAACTTTTCAAATATATTTTCTTTTTCAGATCTCTTCTAAAAATTACTATCAAGGAATTTCTCAATGTACAATAAAGAGAAAATACTTTCAAAAAGCAATCATATTTTAAAACTTAATATATGACATTAACCATATTTGTTTTTATAATTCATGAGCAGCATTTGTATTATAAATACTGATGATTGTTGAAGTTTTCTTGATAGTGATTAATTAAGTCAATCAAATACAGAACTGAATTTATACTTAAGAAATATCATCTTATTACATATTAATAATGTTTTTCTGGAATTAAAATTAACAGAATGATTAATGAAAAAAAAAGATTTTGATAGTCTTAGGTCTAAAATAATTTGTTTTCGTTTTATTTAACTGACCTAATTTATTTGCACTAACCTAGACAACACTCGTCATGACGATGAAAGAGTCTTACAGTTCTACTCTACTTACTTTATGGAAAGGTTGATTTTGAGAGAAATGCACTATCTAAATAAATTCCAATTTTTTCTATAAATGCTCTTGATAAGAGTTTGTTTGCTACATACTATAATAATATCAATAAAATAACAGTAGCAAAAGAAAGAAAAACATTTTGTCCATATGTAGTTCTTTGTTTTTGTATGAATGATGGATATCAAGACAATTTACGAATAATAGTTGATAAGTATACTAATGACAGACAAACAAATAAGAGACATACAATATTTATTGCGAGTTTTTAGATGAAAGTAACATACTTGCAAGAGACTACATTCAAAAACAAGATATTTACAAGCACACAAAAAAAGAAAAGAGTTGAATAGTTTTTATATATTAAATCTCAATACAATAGAGTTTGTTTGTTTGCAAATCGGTAGGCTTCTTTGGAAAGTGAATGCATAAAAAAGATTAATTGCAAAACAAAATATATATCTTATATATTTAATTCTTCTTAATAGACTATTCTTTTTAATCAAAAATTATTTCAATATCATTAATGTCGAGCCATTGTTTTCCTTTAATTCATAAATAAAAAACTGTAGATTATTGTCTCTATTAGAGTCATTAATAACGAGAGTTAAAGAGCACCTTCACTTATCAGTCTATCTGCTTTATTATTTCTGTACTAATATATTTTTCATATTTCTCTATGTTAGTTATTTTCATGCTTCTTTTGCCATTAGTTCTATTTTAGTAGCGTAATAACATAGCACATAAGGATACAAGATATATCATATACAGAAACAAGTACGAATCTTCACTCATCCGCGGACACGACCCATATATATATAGAGCTCATATAACGTCATTATAATGATACAAAATACAATATGATCAATTAATAGGAAAATAATTTATCGTAGTCCTTATTATTTGCTCTAAATGTACATCATTATCTTTATATAAAAATCCAAAGTTGAACTCCTAGAAATATTGATGAAATAAATTTTACTTTGACTTTTTAGTAAAAAAAAACTTGACCTAATTTAGCTTTTAATTCTGATGTTTTTTTTTATTCAAATGTCACTTCAAATTTAATAACAACTTTCAGAAACAGTTTCTTATATTTTCCGAAAACATCGTCAAGCGAATAGGATGTACTTTAGAAGATCTTTTTAAATATATCTAAAAATGCTGAACAATATAAATGACAAAACTTAAGAATCACTCTCACGCTCATCGAAACATTTTTTTTAAATCTTTTACATTGATGGTTATATTAATACTTATAATAATGTAAAATAAGCTATAGCAAACTTCTATCATTAGGATACATAGAAGAAAAATATCAATGAAACAGAAAAAGAAAAAAGATAATGATGTACATTTAGAGCAAATAATAAGGACTACGATAAATTATTTTCCTATTAATTGATCATATTGTATTTTGTATCATTATAATGACGTTATATGAGCTCTATATATATATGGGTCGTGTCCGCGGATNCATTGCCATATTATATTGTCGAGTAGACAAATATAATTTCGCCAAATTGTGATATACTACAGCTAAATCAGGATGATTTTTTGGTAATTTCTTTTCACGAATTTTTAGTCCTTTTTCAAAATATGTTAAAGCCGTAGAGTAATCTTTCATTTCTCGATAAGTTTCACCTAAATTTATGTATGTTGTTGCACATTGTAGAGGATTACATTGAACATTTTCTTGAATATTCAGTGCATTTCGATGCAATGAAAGTGCCTTTTCATAATCACCCATTAATCGATGAACATCACCTATATCACTGTATGATATACCGAAATACGGATGTGTCTCAGGCAGTGTTTTTTGATCTATTAAGAGACACTTTTCAAAATACTCAAGTGCTCTTGAGTAATCTTTCATACTGCGATACACTCTTGCAAACCAGCTGTATGTAGAAGCAAAAGCTGGATTACCTTCTTCGAATGCTTTCTGCTGAATTTTAAAAGCACTTTGAAGAGCCTTAAGAGCTTCCGTGTAAACACCCATTCGCTCGTAACACGCAGCATAATTCAAGTGACTTCCAGCTAATGAGGGATGATTTGGAGGCAGAGCTGTTTCTCTTATTTTGAGTGATTTTTCGTAAAAGTCAAGTGCTTTCGAGTAGTCACCCATGTTGTTATACACTTGACCGATGTTGTTGTATGAATTAGCCAAATCGGGATGATTTAAAGGCAGAGCTGTTTCGTAGATTTTATGTGATTTTTCGTAAAATTCGAGTGCTTTCGAGTAGTCACCCATGTGGTAATACACTTGACCCATGCAACTGTAAGAAGTAGCCAAATGGGGATGATTTGCAGGCAGAGCTGTTTCTCTTATTTTGAGTGATTTTTCGTAAAATTCAAGTGCTTTCGAGTAGTCACCCATGTTGTTATACACTCCACCGATGTCGTTGTATGAAGTAGCCAATGAGGGATGATTTGGAGGCAAAGTTTTCTTGTCGATTTCCAGTGTCTTTTCGTAAAATTCAAGTGCTTTCGAGTAGTCACCCATGTTGTTATACACTTGACCGATGTTGTTGTATGAAGAAGCCAAATTGGGATGATTCGGAGGCAGAGCTTTTTCGAGTATTTCATGTGATTTTTCGTAAAGTTCAATTGCTTTCGAGTAGTCACCCATGTTGTTATACGCAAGACCGATGTTGTTGTAGGTAGGAGCCAGTGAAGGATGATCTTCCGGAAGAGTTTTTCGGTAGATTTGCAGTGATTTCTCATAAAACGAAGCGGCTTCTTGGTATTGTCCTTGGTCATTTTTCATCATTCCAAGCATATGATAGATATGCGCTCTATCGCTGTCGTCAGATGTCTGTTCGAGTAGTGCCGTATAGAGTTCTTCGGCCTTGTCGAATTGACCAATTTTGAGTAGCAATTTACCCATTCGGTACCATTCGCTGCCGTCAACCTCCCCTCGTATATAGTCAGTTAATTTTCGAAGTTGTTCGTCGTCGTCCGACGTAAGTTTCAGATCCACTTCATAAAGTGGTCTTTCCTTGTCAATTTTTCGAACGTCACCAATTCGAAAAACGGTGTGCATGGAGAAGAGAATTTCCTCTTCTTCCTTGAAGTAACTAACCTCCCGGATGGAGGCGAATGGAGTTGATGATACTGTGGGATCAATGGTCATTATGAAGAGAACCCCGACCAGATCGATTGTTCCCAAGGCGGCTTTGGCGAAGCTGAGTGAGACCTCTCGAGCTGTACTGGTGGATAAAAAGTTGTTAAAAGAAACAAGCCCGCCTTTGGTTTTGGCGAGCTTTTCTAAGCCTGCTTTCGGTAGTCCTTGACCCCGAAAGAGTGTAAAAATTTTCCCACGGTATTGACTGACCTGATTCTTGTAGAGTGTTTCAATTTGGCGGTGGACATCACATAAGAAGAAGCCCATCCGGATGATAATGTCACCATCCAGTGTTCTTAATGCTCTATTGAGCATGTTGTATGTGAAACACTGCCTTGTATACCACCATAGAGCTGCTGTTGGATTATAAGTACGTCGAAATTCTTCAATAATTTTAAGTTCTCTCTTGTTGCCATGATATTGTTCTTGACAAAATGTCACCAAATCTTGTACGGCCTGTTGACCATGTTCCATATCAAGGAGTATTTCCTTGAAGATTTGTGTATACATAAAGCTGGGTTCTAGCTGATTGAGATTTTCGCTAGAGCTTCCTTCATTGGGGCCAATAATACTGACCGTGGTATTATTTTGATTGCATCGCTTGACAGCTACTTGCAATGCTTGGCATATCGACTTGATAGATTCGTAGACGCCTTTAACTTTTGTCCAGTTTTCAGTCCATTCTTCATGCAGTTGTTTGTTGCGGCAGAATATATATATGGTATCAAGTTTTGCCATTGCGTGAATGTCTGGTACAAGATGTTGTCCAAGTGCACCAGAGGAAATAATGAATGAGGTCTCCTCCTTATTTTCATTGAGCAATGCAATGCATTGTTCCACCGTGGTGCATGTATGCACTTCATTGACAACATCGCGCAATTGCTCGAGCGTATGTTGATAATCTTTGTTTGCCATGTCCATATTTCCATCGACCCAGATGACGAAATAATTTTCAGCCATGCGTCGTCTTCGTTGTCTACTCATGTTGAGAGAGACTGTTGCCATTTGCTCGATGATGAAGTATGATATAATACTAAATTGCTGCTTGGACAGAGTTTACCTTTTGTATTTATATATTCGATGTTCGTTGTTTTTTTTTCTACGACGTCAAATATGGGTATTTTTTTGTTTCGTTGACGCTCAAAGACAACTTCTATCTAGTTGCAATCGATGATATGGTTGCGAATAATAAGCGGCAGGGGAAAAAACCAACAACGTCATTTATTTTACGATTATTTCTTCCAACTTTCTATGTATGTTTCATGTGAAGCGTGACCTAAAAATCATTGCATTAGATACCTTTTCGCATACGTTGTATATTTTTCTTTCATTCTTTCAAAATAGCCTTTTTCTCTCTGTCTCTGACAAGAACGAAAAAGATAATAATCACATCGTTAGTTTGATTTTTTTCCCTCATTACAGTTTCTATCTGCGTAATATACTGCTGATCATTAACTAGTGATTGAAGTAAAACATCCAAATTATATCTAGAAAACCACACAAGCTGCTACCGATGTGGTATGCAATAATTTAAGAGCTGCCTAACTGCAGTTATAGACTTTAGTCGTGCCATGTTCAGCATGCACATATTATCATTCACAATTTTACTAAAGTGATTTTTGATTTTTACTATATTTATTCGAAATATGTATATGATTAAAAAAATATTTCTTGTCTTATGGGATTGTAACTGTTCTTCGTTCATTAATTTCGACGATTCATAAGGAAATAATATTCAAATTGTGTTTGTTCATATTTAAGATTCACACAATTTTAACATACAGTCAATGTTTCTAATAAGAACAGATGTTTTTTCAGAGGTGTCAGTAATTTTCATTTTGTTGATCGAATTTTTATAATCATATAGATTTTTTTACATTTTTGAATGCTGAAATGTCTGCTGCATCGAGTGATGCAAAAATCATCTAATTAGCTCGTAAACTAATCGAGCAATTAACGATGGTTTACGAGATATTGAATTTGTTCTTATTAGGAGCACTGTTCCTAATACAAACAACCAGCGAAAAAATGTTCCAAAAAAGAATATGCTATACAAATTACATGGAAAAAAAACTTTTTTTCTATATAAACTCAATTTTTTTTGTGCTTCCATATGAAAAAATCTTCCTCTAGTAATGATACACTAACTTCCAGAGGTGCGACTCGAATGGACTTTTCTTATAATATATATGTCGATTTAAAGTAAATATTCAATGAGCAATTTGTGATGATAGAATCTATAGAATTTTTCGAACATGATGTTTATCCAACGAATTCGATTGTAGTATTTATTCGATCTGCCGATACTTAAACAATTAAATAGACGTGCCTTGCTTATGATTCATTATCATATCAAGGAAGATATAAAACAACTCATAGACATCTGTCGAATATGTTAATATGTTAATATATTATTCAAATTACGCAGTACAGTCCATAGATGTTCTGATAATAGTGTTTGATATTAAATGGTTACATTTTCTGAATAATTATAATCATTTACTTAAAGCCTGAAATTCAAAAAGATGATCAATCAAGTCACTAATCCAAATCGACACAATATGAGTTTCTTCAAGTAGTGCTGATACAGCGACAACAAGTAAAAGAACATGTAGATTGAAATAACCAACAAGCGGATCGATTACTTCATTTCATAAGACAAGTACTATTAGCGATCGTGAAGCATCATCTAGTAGGGTAGACTTC